CTCAACATCAGCCTACAAGGGAAACGCACCAAGTAAATAGCTGAAGCATAAAGAAACTCTTATTCAGTGTTACGAATGCACAGAGCATAGTCTAGCTTGTGTAGGTATATTTAAGTCACATACAGCTTATATTATTTGTGATAAATGTACATATCTTTGTATGCTCATACATAAACACTTTTGCACTCATTTGTGGACGGACAAAAGTAATGTGTGGGTTTGGAGGTTGGTTTTACATTTGCCCACCATGTGAATTGTACGAGTATATTTCAAAGAAATTGGCTAGATTACAGAGAAGACAAATTATTTGGTGAATGTAAAAATAAATATTTCTTTGTGGTATTTGAGTGTACCACACCTTACTTGTGTGCAAATGTGACCTGCACCATCTTTATAATCCATCTCTGTTATTATGAGGGAAATCATATTTACGTACAGTAAAAAATTTTAAGGCTTCATGTGAACAATACCCCAAGATCGTTCCACCTTCGCAAAGCATCACGTTTGGCCAGATTGATTGAAGAATATTGTTTCATTGAGAAATAGTCAAATTCTTTAAGAGCTTATTAATTAATTGGATTGTTGGTGAAGAAGATACCTTTTTATGGTGATAAATAAATAAAGATATTTTCAGGTATCAATATTTTAATTCAACTTATGATCATTTCGATCGCGTTGCGATCATCCTCAGAGCTAAAATGTGAAATACAAATATTAATAACAGGTTGTAGTTATTGTATACAAGATGCGTAAGCAAACTGGATCGTACATACCTTGCAGCTTCCAGGCCGAAAACAAAGTTCTGCGAATTTTTGAGCGTGTGTCTTGTTTAAGAGCACAGCGGGTCGGCAGCGGGAGGGGGCGGGAAGAGGGTGGGGTGCGGGTGAAGGGTCGTAAAACGCGGGGGTGCTGGTGGATGCTTGAGAGACGGTCGGGCGAGCGAAGGTTAGTTTATTTATCTTTAAGAGCTGATGTTGTCCACAGATGTCCACTATGCAATTATGTAGGAGGTAAGAAAGTAAAATGAATATGTATCAATATAATGAGCATCAATCAATAGCAAATTGTCTACTCCATTACTCGTTGTAGGGATTACTTCCAGAGTAACATAATATATACAGCCGAAGGCACCACAAGACTTAGGTTGTGAGGTATGCATTTTCATAAATTACATGGTCTGGGCTACTACTTCAAGCAAAGCTATTTCAAAAACACAAAATTTATTAAGTGCTGATGAAATTCTTAACAGATTCTAATTAATCCCCGAAGTATGTGACTTGTGATTTTCGACAATAAAATATTTTTTTTAAGATTATAAAATAGGTATTGTAAATAATTTGTCTCCTTCATAATTGTAATAATAGTTTCGGATGTAGCAACTGTAATTTATCTCACTGGGAATTATGATTTGCCGCGTGATTTTTTCATCAGAATTAGAGACTATAAGTGAGATGGAATAAACAGAAGAAGAGAAACAGCAAAACTTTATAAAAAACGCTTAATTGAGGTTAATAGCAATCAATATGCCCAGCGCAGGTCTCATTAGCAATAAAATATCTGAATTTTTGAAAATTCCAAAGAAACTAACATTGCAAAAGTTCAATTAGGATGATATATATTTTCTTACAAAAAGGCTTTTCTAAAAATTAGATCTTTAAAAAGGTTAATGGACATTTTGTAAAGCGCGTAGTTTCCACGTAATTTCTGTCTGAAGAAATGCAATTTATTTAAATAAATATTTTTTTCATAAATGACTCTTGCTCTCATAGCATTTGCTCATAAATAATAACCCTCTAACGATATCTCATGAAACTACCTTCCTGAAAGTAAAAATTCAAGAAAACCTAAATGCTCATATCTCAAATCTTAACAAAAATCTCTCCAAATCTCGATATGACGTACACCCTCAGGTCACGCTCTAGGTCACACTGAGGCACTTCGGACAATGTATTTCGCAAATGTGCACTCACACTTAAAGTATGGAATTATATTCCTGTGAACAAATGCTGAGATGGCTCCTTGTTTCGCTTCTGAACAGTAATTTAACTTTACTCTCTCCGTCAAACATATCATATGTTATGAAAATATTATACTATATATTCTACTTTTGTATTGTATATATGATTCTACCTTCTCAGGCGGCCCGTTAGATAGTGTACTTGCTTACAACAGCGTGTATTTGGCAAGGCAAATTATAACTGTGCACTTTCTTTACAAGTGTCCCAGTATCCATTGCTACGTGACAATGAAATAGCCCGCCCTAAGATTAAGAAGACGAGTATATACGGTGAAGGGATGACTTTGTGCTCTCCACACGAACCCCTTATCCCATGGCCGAGAGGCTGGGTCACCGCTGGTCGGCCAAGGCACGCAGCGAGCTGTCGAGCTAAGAACAGGAAACAGGATGTAGGTTATTGTAGAATATTATTTTTTAAATAATTCCAAAATTCTAAAGTAATACATATGGTTTAAAAGAAGATAATAACCGAAAGCCCTAAGTTTGTTTGAGGGAGGAGATCATGGTCCCCTAAAACCCCCTTGAAACGCCACTGTTTACTTGATTGATAATCACGTTTTACGCCACTCGCTGCACACTTTCTAATAGATGAAAGACTTCCTCGCGAGTATGGATTTGTTCTATGTCTTGGTTTAGGCAGGTATTCTATTAAAACATTTGACCTCAATAAAATATCTGAATTTTTGAAAATTCCAAAGAAATTAACATTGCAAAAGTTCAATTAGGATGATATATATTTTCTTACAAAAAGTCTTTTCTAAAAATTAGATCTTTAAAAAGGTTAATGGACATTTTGTAAAGCGCGTAGTTTCCACGTAATTTCTGTCTGAAGAAATGCAATTTATTTAAATATTTTTTTCATAAATGACTCTTGCTCTCATTGCATTCTCTATGACACTATCTATGAGATATTGAACTTACTTGTGCCTGAAAACGTTCAAGGAATGTCAGGTGTTAAAATTCCAGCCGATATTTTCCAATCACAGGGGCAGAATATGCAACCAACACGCGTTTAATACTCGATGGTACAGCAGGTTGCCTAGCTCTCTTGTTCAGGGACGTTTGAGTAGACTGGCTGAGACATAATGCTTAATTTACCGAAAATAGTTCAATTTGTCGCCTCCGCGTAGCATCACAATCACTCATAAAGTCAGCACACGTGGTCCGATTTTCAATCAGCAACGGCATTTTCATTCCGAAAGTGAAATTCACAAAGACTCAGAAGTCAAACTTAGAATGTACTTACCATAATATATGTACTTCGTTCTCATATTGTGTACGACAAGAATATAATAGTTGAACTTCATATTCACAATTCCATAATAATTTATACATCATACTTATTAAGTTTGTAAAATATAAGCAATAATTATTTAATATAAATTGAAGCAACAGCTAAGATAATAGTGATGATGCAGGTCTCAAATAGAGGTTGTTAACAACGACAAGTACACAGAGTTCCCATTAATTGCACAAAAACGGGCAAATAAACAGATTATAAACAAAATATGTACAAAGTAACATTTTCTTTTTAAAAAAATCCAATGATTCAATCGAAACAGTGACATTAATTGTATATTTTTCTGACTGTCATATTATAACCTTTCAAAATAAATGACAGTCTCTAAAAAATGTTTGTTGTAAAAATAACAACAGGACTGAACTTTTATTTACAAATGTAAAGTTGTTATTCAAATTTTTTGTGATAGTTATGACAATATGACAGTACGAGGAATGACAATGATATGACACATTACATACATAATAAAATACTCCGTTCATAAATAAAAGAACACAAAGCAACCATTCATCCAACAGTATAAAAGTTGTTTACCACAACAATTTACACATCACTTCCAAAAATATAACCCCATCTATAATTACACTTCTTCCTAATTTGTCACATATAGTTTTCAGTGTTTTTTGATGATTAATCAATAAAATGTGCAAACTAATTTATATTTAATTAAATTTATATTATTGTTAATATTTATCAATGATTATATTCACTACAGTTATTTTGTGTATCTACATTGAGCTCTTGTAACTGTAATTCCTGATGCTAGAACATGGCATTTAAATATGATTAAAAAGTTTAATTCCTACTAGAGGTCATACTATTCCAAATTCAGTAGCAGGAGTTTTAACTTCCATGTAAGAATTACCAGGAAAACAAAATGAAGATAAATACTTTTACACAATAATTACACGTATTCCTCCAATTATTCCTAAATTGACAACAGAAATATTCCCTGATTCATTCCTCCTGGCAATAATGTCTTGCCATCACTAAATAAGGTAGTAAATGTGGCTCTGACAGCATTTTACTCAAAACTGATATTCTTATATCTATCTTAATGCATTCAAAGTCCAAAGAATATTTAATGAAAATAAAACCAGTAGAATTTTTATATGTGCACTTTTCCTTCTTCAAGAAGAAAATAAACAAGTTTGACTTTCTTTGAGAATATTTTGTATATGTCAAAAGCACTTCATACAGAGTACCTCCCAAATCAAACCATCCATTTTGAATTCAAGGAGCTTCAACATTCCCCAGATTGATTGCATTATCAATTGTCTTTGGTTTTGGTGAAAATCCTGCCTTCAATTTAATTTCTAGCATTATTCAAAGACAACCAGAGGTTTTAAAGAAAAATAATTTAAAATAAAAAAGTACATAAATGCCAATGTGTATTTCAATGAAAATATGGTCATCATTAACTCAAATTTCCAATAAATTTAATATTATTAGGGTATTTCCCTCCGTTCTAGTATTTTGACCTCAATAAGTTTTCCTAAACATTATTCACATTTACACAATTTACAAAATAGCATTAGTATAGTTCATTCATAAATTTATTTTAATATCTTTCCCTAGTGATGTCATGTTCCTGATTTAACATAAATGTAATAAAATGACAATAGAAAACTTTGAAAATTAAATAATTTCTATAGAATTTCTTTCTTACATGATTTTCCTTGTTTACTTTGCCATTATTTCCTTTAAAGCATAAGGTCTAAAGTTCATTGAAGTAGGTAAAAACTATCAAAAATTAAAATTAAGTTTACTTAAGTCCTAGACAGCAGTAAATTACACATTCAGCAATATAATCTTAAATCATTATTTGATATATGGCCAAAACAAATGGACACTTTATCATAAAAAGAATAATAATACTTTGCCCAATTATTTATTCAATTACATTGCCCATTTCATAACAATAATGAATATATTCTAATAACAACAATGACTTTTGATCTCTGTACAACTTCTTTGAACATGAATTTAGAATATCAACTACATCTTCAGAATCTACAGTCAAAGCTACATAAATCAAACAGAGGGAAGAAAATGAGATAAAAAAATAATTGTTGGGATAGTCATCTACAAATGGTAAGTGATGAATAGTATGGTGCATATAAAAATGGTTAGTGTCAAAAGTCCTGGAAGATAAGAAGAACATGTTAGTTGAAATGCTTTAACGAGTGAGACTGTAAGAAGGTACAAAACAATATTGGAAGAAGTGTGTACATTGAGGATTTGATAGGGGAAACACAATATCAACATAGAAAAATATCAATTCAATACAATTTAATTCTGGGGAAAAGATCCAAATACTGATTGACAAAATTAGCAAACTTATTTCTAGAATTTACTAAATGATAACAGGATTTAGATAAGAATTTATGAATACAAATTTTGAAAGATGATGGTCTTGAACACATGTTAATCGTGTAGCTTGGTCAGTAATGGCCTATATGCCACTAATAATAATAAAAATAATAATAAGTAAATAATAAATAGTAATAATGATGATAATAATAATAACAATAACAATAATAATAATAATAATAATAATAATATTTTATTGCTTATAGACTTACAAAAAGTATCAAGTAAAGTCTGCCTAGAAAGGGTTTAAAATTACAATAAGTTAGTTACATTATTAAACAACAATCATTTACAATAATAATTTAATAAGTGTAATTATCTTGATAAATTATATGTTAAAATATATAAAATTAATTAATGCAAATAATAAAATTAATTTAAGTTATAACAGGAATTAAATTCAATTATGTATCTTACAGTAGTAATTACAATAGTTCACTTCATAAAATACATGATTAATAAAGTATGTAAGTTGTCATAATAAGAATTAGAAAAATTACATATCTGAACTACATTAAGTTTCATTACCAAATTAAAAGTAACATTAACGCTACATTATATTAAGATTACATTAAAAATATGTTAATGCATAACATTAGCAGATAATGATACAATAGCAAGTACCAACTAACAATTAGAGTGAGTAATCCTACACTAGTTGATTAATTAACTTCAATAACTTCAATATATTAGATGATAATATTAATTGTGCTTACAACATTACATTTTATATTTTATACTACATTACTGAATAGTACCTTATTGAACTGAAAGTACAGAGCACAGAGTAGTTTCAGAGCAAGTGAAAGAACAGAATGTACAGAGTGGCCACTCTTGTAGCAGTGCATGATTTTTCATTACAGAGAAGATATAGCAATTCAGATATTTTATATAGACACACACTAATAAGATGATGTTGAAGCAATGTTTTGAAATATATATTATCAGCTGATTTTATGGTAACAGGGAATTTATACAAATGCAAAAAGGGTCTTTGTTAGTTGAAGACTTGCTAGTGTGTATCCTGTGATAGTCCCTATGTCCTCTAGTATTGTAGTTAATGTAGTGAAGAAACCCAAAATTAAGCTTCCTTATGTAATTCTTGTTCTTAGAAATAAAATGAAACACAGTTGTTCAGAAATACTAAGAACCTCCTTTATAAAGCAAAGTATGAACTATATAAAAAACACTATAAGCTAAAACTTATGAATGAAAAAGCTTATTTATTAAATCATAACATTAACAACTCAACAGACTAAACATTTTGGAATATAATCAACACTGGGAAAGCTCAGACTCAAAAACATAAACCTATAACAAGAAGTCATGTTTCTCTATGGTGCAAGTGCCACTCCAAGAATCCTCATGTTCACGTGCTTCTTTCACTAAGCAATCAGGCAATATTGTGTCACTGGAAAACACCAATTTACTTGCATAATACATCTCATAAATTTTTCTTGAACCTTGTTGTGTTGATGACATCAAAGAAAAATTCAAATTTTTCCTTTTCTTCATCTGACTTATCCTCAGATTTTGCAGGTATATTTAACTTTGGAAGATTTAGTACACAGTATTTTTATTCTTCTCTCGTGCTTTTCTCATATAGTAACAGCAGCCTAAAAAGAATTACATTACTGTCAACATGCTATTGATAAATATACATTCTCTCCACTGGTAATTTAAAATAATAAAATTTTCCATATTAAGGAATACAAGAACAAAAGAGAAAACAGTTTGTCTTTGAATTTATCAAAAACATTACTTCTCCACAAAATAAAGACAAAATAAAATATGCTTACTATCATACACTATACCTGTCATAATGATGCATTGTGTATGTAGCTGCACTAGTACTTCCTTGATGACCTCCCAGTTCATCATAGATTTTTTTCCAATGTTGATTTGCAATTACATTATTGTAAACTCCTTGTTTTTTAACTTGAGTAAAAAATTCAAAAAGGTGATGAACAGACTGGGACAGACAGACATTGCATTATCACATAATTTTTTATATATCTACTGTTCTCTTTTTTTTTACATCAAAACAGCCCTTAGTAATTAGTATACCTATGGGTGGTGAGAGAGAGAACAAAAGTATTTAGACCTTTTTGACATTTTATATTTAATTTGATGTAACTGAAATATAAATCATTTTATTAAACTGAAATCATTCTTGCATCTGAATAGGCAAATGCTGTCCTTTCAAATTGTAAAGTATCAATGTTCGTTCTGAAATTCTGAACTCCATTGATAAGTGCATTGAATATTGTGGCCCCTAATGTGAAACTATAGGCTAAAGTAATCTAACAGGCTTGAAATCAGAGTTCTGCAGTGCATATTCCACCACACCCTGATGAGATCAATGCAACTTTTCTGTGAAGAATGAAGCCTAAGCAGGACACATCTACACAATAGTACATTTACATGTAATCACCTGCTCTTTCTCAACAAGACATTACTGAGACCTGAATGTATCACACATTTTTTAACAGAGCAGGTCAAGTTGTAAAACAATGTCATGTCACGACCTGTTTTAATTTACAAATTATAAAGAAAATACAAGCTAAAATAGCAATAGACTAGTTACAATGGCCAAATTCACACACAGGAACTGCAAAATATTTGAAAAGTAACGTGAAACTGAAGAATCAATGAAAAAAAAAATACAATTCTTCTACACATTAAAAATTACATTGACTTCAGTTTCTTTGAAACCCTCCTTCCCCTTGCTTGCCTCCAGTGGGACTATTCTGCTGAGCTATGCTATTACACCATAAGTCGTTTTTGCTGGCAATCTGTTGTTTATTCCACTACAATTTAAAAAGAAATACATATAGACAGTCAGTTTATGAGAAAGAACTGAACACATAAAGATTTCCTGCAACACAACTGTAAGGCATTTTATATTTTGAACTTATTGAAGTTTCCGTAACTCTTTGAAGAGAAAATTTTGAAATATTATGGAAAAAAGTTTGTGACATTTCACTGCCAACATATTTTAACAATTATTAATAATTTTAATGATAAAGAATTATGAATTTCTGAATCTTCTCTAATTCTGCAGAAATATGAACATATTTTTTAACTTCACAATATAATATTTAAAATTTTCCATTGAAACTAGCAACAATTACATCTAAAACATACAAGTTTTCTGTAATAATTCATGAGATTTGAAAATATTTTTAAAAAATATACAAATTTAAAATCAACTATCCTCTAAGAGTGTTTTCTATTTCAATTTTTTTATCATTATGTTTCGTATAATTAAAATTTAAATTATGTTCTCTACTGTACAGTGTGTTTACAAAGCCTTTAAGGATATATTCCTGCCAGAAGAATTGGTAGGTGGTAATGTCAGCAACTATAACTAATGTGAAAATTTGAACAGTTCCAATCATATTTTGATTTGGTTTAACATTTATTCTATTTATTTTTATTACTGAATATATTTGAAAGTGATATTGATATTTTACAAATTTCTTCAAACATTATCACTTTTTGAATTTTCTTTTTGGTTGGTAGGAGAGCAAGGAAGATGATATTCTGGACAGAGAAGACTGATTCATTTGACTCAACCCCCTGGAGATAGGATTCGCTTTTTGGAGTATTTCAGAAGCCTTTTAAGTTAGGATCTACAACAAAAAAATCAAACCACTTGTAGTAAAAACAAATCAGTTCTCTCTGAGATCTAGCAGAATCTATGTTCAATTTATGATATAACAGGATTCCCCTAGAATAGTCCTTTTCATTTTCATGGTTAAAAAGCAATTTGTGTTCCAATATATACTTATAAAAGTGTTATGAATCTTCCTAAAACATTGTAAGGTAAGAATCATGTTTGTCCAGTTAATATACCTCAAATTAATAAAATGTAATCAGGTAACTAAATTTCCTTCGTTTCTTGATGGCAAATTCTTAGAAGCAACCTTCTGTCACTGAAAACGTTCATGATTCTTACACAATTACTAATGCTAATTACTTATGAATATTTTATTCGAAATTGTCAATCTGCTCACCTATGGATGGCCTTACCAGCATGAAACCGGTGACATCTGACCCAAGATCCTTTTATACCCTAGAAATAATTTGACAAGTTGGTCTAGTGGGTTATTACTTTGACAAGAACAGAGCGCGCGCGCGCTCTCGCTCGCTCGCTCTCTCTCTCTTCTCATCGCGTCATCTCTCTCGTCTCGTTCCTCTCTCTCTTCTCCTCTCTCGTCGCTCGCTCTCTCGCTGGCCTCTCTCTCGCTCCTCTCTTTCTCTCGACTCTCTTCTCGCTTCTTCTTCTCTCTCTTCTGTCTCTCTCTTCTCTCGTTCTCGTCTCTCTCTCTCTTCTCTCCTCTTCGTATCTCGCATCTCTCTCTCCGTTCTCTCTTCGTGTTCTCTCGTCGCTCGCTGCTTTCTCGGGGCTGTCAGCGGGTTCGGTCCGTCTCGGGCGTCCACGTACTCTTTCTCTTATCGCTGCGTCAGGCTCTGTTCTGGTCGCTCTCCGTCTCTTCTCTCTCTCTCTCTCTCTGGTAACTGCTCCACGAGCATGCACGTTTTTTTTAAATCCCAGAAGTAAATTGTAGCAATATCTCGACATTTTTTGTTATTAACAATATTTCTTCAACTGTTTATTCATGTTCCATAGATTTGTACCACCATTTGATAAAACAGAGCTGGTAAATATTTAAATAAATGCTGCTTTGAATTTCCTTGCAAGCTTTGAAAGTAAATAGTATCTCTGAGGAATTGAAGCACCTTTCATTGAGTCAGAAACAAAACCACCCCATCCCAACTTCCTTTCTAGTTCCGCCTCGATGATCTGCAGAATACTTTTTCTTCTGGAAACAGCAAAGCGCTCTGCGCTGAGATCGCGTCTGCTACACATTACGGCGCAACCCGCAACTCGCCACACAAGTGACTCCGGGGGCGTCAACGGCCAAGTTCATTAGTCCCGTAAATGCAGTGCGCGTTTTCTGCCCGTGCCAGCTGGTGAGATCCGGCGCCGCTCTGCCGTCGACTAGCGCGTGTCCCCCTACCAGGTATCTCCACCAGCGGGGCACCGCCCCGATCGGGACAAGCTCTAAGCGCCCGGCATGAGCGGTAGTACAATGCATGTCAGTGCAAGTGAGGGGTGTGGACAGGACAACGAAGCGGAAGGCGGGATCGCACGGCCCCTGGCTCAGCTCCGACATTCGCCTGGAATTGATCGGAGAATCCATGGCAAACCACAGACCAGAGCAGCCGGTCGCTAGAATTCTCCTTCAAACTGAATGCGACCTAGCTGGCAAGCTGCGTTCAAAACCCTGCCAGAGTCGCTAGCTCGGCAAAAACGCCAAGGATCAACTTTCTTGCAAAGTGCCAAAGTTGATATTACTTGAGGTTCATAAGCCACAGAGAGAATAAGCAGTCGGCTCGATGTGGCAACGCGACCTCCGTTCGCGCAGCAGCGGCCGAGTGAACGCCCTTGCGGCTCTCTGCGATCTGGAATTCGACTTCAGACATGAATCCCTCACGCAGGTGTACCTACCTCTGGCACAACAAACAAAGGCAGATATTTCCCAAAAGTACACTTATAAACACAATCGTTTTAACACTGTACTTTACTTAGTCGGATGTTGCGTGATACAAAGTTCACAAAAAAGCCAACTTTTTTCGCTTTCAAAACTGTATTGACTCATTACTACGTTTCTCCTCTCTGCTCCGCTGGTTCAATATTTCGTGCTGCTTTCCGCAACTTCGTGAGCTTTAGTCTTCTTTTGCAGAACTGCGCTATCGCGCGACGTCGTCACCCTGAGAAGAATTGTTTGAGTACGTGCGTAGAGTGTTGGCAGGCAGAATGTCTTGACAGTAGAAAATGAAAATCATTTATTTAATGCTGCACTTCGGGTTTGAAAAATCAAAGTCAACTGCGGAGGGAATTCTCATGAAAATATAAAAATTCTGTTTCAATATCACAAAGTGTTGGAACATCACCGTAGTGAAACAAAGCTGTCAAGTATTTTCTACACATTGTTTTATGTAATTTGTATGTTGACAAAGTACACAATTCTTTATGAAATATTTATACTCGGTCCTTTTCAAATAAACTATGGATTATCGGTTTCCGAACCTGGGACAATCTCGGACCCCATAGTCTCGGACCCCAAGACACATAATAAGATTTGAAAAGGTGTAGAATGTTCCGTTTTTTCAGCAAAATATGAAAATATATACTGTTGATAAATGTTGAATAAAAACAAAATTACTTCCATGCATTGAAGTTACCATTAAATCATATTTATGAGAGAGAACTAATTTTACAACACAACTTCATGGGAACTTTGTTGTAGGAAATTTTGTCTACTTTAATATATTGTATAGAACATAACATTCTGTGGGATTGATAGTTAATATTATGCAAAAAAAAAAAAAAAAAAAAAAAACTTAAAAAGCTCCTTCCAACCGCCGCTTCCCCCCCTTCAGGCCCCCATTTTTAGTATGTTATGCAGTGGGTCCCAACAAACCCTCATGCCCTGTTTTCAAACCCCGAATGCCGTTTCCATCGCTCGCCAGTTTGGTCCGATTGGACTGGGCTCATTCGGCAGCAGCCGAAATCCGCGTAGCGAGGGAGAGCGGCTTGCTATTCGCCGAGCGACGAACATTCTGTGCTCGCCCCACATCAACATCAACATCAGAGGAAGCGAACATTCGCAGAGCGCTTCAGCTGATTCATTGATTGCTGATTAAGGTGGCGTCAACTGCTAAGGTCATTAGTGCAGTGCATCATTTTATCGCGGGTGGGAATGGTGACTGGCGAGATCCGGCTATAGGCTACGTCGGCTCACAGGGATTTTCCCTAACCAGGTATCTCCTACCCCGTAATATATTTCAAGTATAATGGACTTTTCGGTGATTCATCTGAAGAATGTATTTCCATTGTTTTAGATTCTTATTACTTTCTCTCTACTGCGTAACAGGAAACGTTATGCGCAGAAAAACGGCAAATTTTCGGCAGAAAAACTCTTATTAAAGGGGCCCTAGAAACGAAAAAGTGGATAAATCCAAATGCTAAATTTAGAAAAATAATTCTCTAACACTTGGGGTACCTAGAATCCATGATTAATGGATCCTTGATACCAAAAAATCGACTGAAGATAAAACGTTCCTGTCTGTGAACAGCGCTTGTGGCCAAACAATTCAGCCGATTTTCTGTAAAATTGATATTCCCCAAAAGATCTGCCTGATGTCGCGGCCCCTTGATTTTGAAATCGAACTTTTATTTTGGGGGGCAACTATACACGAAGCCCTTGAGACTCTTAAAAAGTGACTCCAGCGTTTTTGATTAAATTTTGTTGTTGGATAGTGTGAAGGATGCTTATAAGAGAATGGTACAGATGTCGTTTTTGCTAAAAACTGATTTTTCGAAAGTTGCAATACTTTAAAACGTTTTCGGCGCCTTCCTACAACTAAAACATTAAAGATAAAAGTTTTATTCCTTAATGAAAGCTGTTCCTTAAAGATAGATTTTGAAATAGGTTATGTACAATGTTTCAAAAATTTCTGTATATTTCACGTAATTTTTCATGAGAGTATGGGCGAGAAAATAGTGCATTTTTAGCACCACCAGTTTTATCGGTGTTGTAATATTTTACGGACCTCCAGGAACAACTTCCATTTTGTCCGGTGAACAAGTCGGTCCACATCCCATTCACATACAATGTGTGTGCATATGGACTTCGAGCACAGCGATGTTGTATTTTTGGCAAAGATTCCAATTCACGACAGTAAATCGCACTCTCTAAACGTTTCGGCAGAACGAATTCACTACAGTCCGGTAGATTTTGTGCTGTTAAGCACGTAGTTTGCAGATGCTAGAAACAAAGCTCCCTTTATCGCAAACCCTAATCGACGCTCCCGATGTGTCGATGGCTTTGTGCCATTCGAATCTGAGACAGTCAGTGCATTGTTCCTCGTCGGAAACACTGTCGCTTTGTTTGGAAGTTTGACTTGCAACTCACCACCGAATTTTCTTGCTCACGATGCGTATACTAGTAAAGCCCTCTCAAAACTGTCTAGTAAAGCCCCTTTTTCCTATTTTCCGTCATTGATAAAGTATTTTTCGTTGGTTTCATTGATTTTAATATCATTTTATTGGTAATTGCTTCAAATAATAATTACGAGATGCAACAAAATGTTCTCCACAGAATTCCCGAGTAGCCAAGTCAATTTCTTCGTTCAGAAATTGAAATGTCAGCCGTTGTATGTAATCTAAAGCTTCTGCGTGCGGGGGAGTCAGGGCGCCAGGCGGTGGCAGGTCGGTGCAGGTCGCTCGGCAGGGGCAGCCCGCGCCCTGGGGACTTCCCCGCTGCCCCCACCCCGCAGCCACCGAGAGGCACGCATGCCACCGCTGCAGTTGAACTGAAACCGGCGGCAGAAGGCCTTCATTTTCACTCAAACAGGCACGCGAAAAGGCCTTTATTATGGTAGAAGTAGGGGTGCAAGACTGACTAATCACTGCTAGCGCCTAGCTGCTAAACTGTTCAGCCTATTTTCTTCAAAATTGATATTCTCCAATCGATCAGGGTGATGTTGCGGACCCTTGTTTTTAAATGCGATATTTACATGAAACCCCTGAGACTTTTTTAAAAATGGCTTCATCGTTTTTTAATTAAATTTTGTTGTTAGATAGTGTGAAGGACTTAAAATAATGGTGAAGGTCTCATGTTCTTTGAAAGCCCTAATTTTTCGAAAAAGTTCCAAAATATTCGGAGTCTTCCTACAACTATAATAGAGATAATTAAATTATGTTAAAGATACATTTTGAAATAAGGTCATGTACAATGGTTCAAAAATTTGAGTACTTTTCGCGTAATTTTGCGTGAAAATACGGGGAGAAAGTATGTGCTCTTTTAACAACACTAGTTTCTTTTGAAACTATTTTGTTGCGTTCGCGCCAAACGAGACTCTACGTGTTGTTTTATGGTTTCTTCAAAAAGCATCAACATCGTCAGTGATGTGAAAGAAACGCCTTGAGTTGCTGGTTGCTGTGAGAAAACAATTAATTTCCTTCGGAAAGAAAGTCGACGCGATATACTTAACATCTTCCAC